AGTACATTGAGATTTCCTTCAATTACAGCAAAGCAGCTTTGTACATGATGTGCTCAAGACACAGAGGACAAAGGAGACACTGGGAGAATTTGGGCTTGGTTGTGATTGTGACATAGAAGACTCTTCTCTGTTCTCCAGGAAAGGGCACAAGGGAGACCAAAATAGACTTTCAGATGGAGGTGACTCCAGGAGTTTCCCTCGGCTCCTGTGTCATGCCTGCTCAACAGCTGCTTTTCAAAGGCCACAGATGAACCCTAACACCTCACGATAATCCATTCTAGAGCAACACTGACAAGCTCCTCTTTCCATCTGTGCCACCTCCTTGGTGGTGCAATTTACTACTGGCATTTAGGGGCCTTGCTTGTTAGTTGGCCTATATTTCTCTTTTTCCAAGTTCCACGGAGCTCCCCCTAAATTCTAGGGTTCTGGAGTTCAGTGAACATGCACAGTTTAACCTGCTTTACTCTTATGACTTTACAGACAAACTCGCATCTCCAGTTCTGCCAGCCTGGGACTATTCACACTTTGACTTGATGCACAGGTGGCAGCACCCAGTTTCTCTGAGTATCTTGTCCTTCTCAAAATGCTATTACATGTCTGACATGCAGAACTGAGTGCAATGTTGGCCATGTGGAAGTACCATAATTTTGCAGAAGAATAAGCATTGGAATACTATTATCTGGATACAGGGATCATCAAAAAGTAGGTGCCTACTGGCAGCTCTCCTGTCTTACCACCCAGAACATGCCTGGCACAGAGCAGCCACACCACAAAACTTGTGCAATGAGTGTCTCTTGATTTCAGCCACCAGGTGATAAACATATATTAATGCATACAGCCATACAGATACATATATGTAAGAAACAACACAAAGAAGACCTTCCGAAGTTCAACACTGTGTTTTTTTTTTTTTCCTCTAAGCAACATTAGTCCATGTGCTTTGGAGGAGCTTTTCCTTCATACCCATTCCTTTATCTCCACTCTAATCAGTCTAAAATCTAACTGCAGCAATGCCTGTTAACTGCGGCAGCTGTGTTTGAGATCTTAGCCCTCCAATCTGTCATGTACCACGGATACGTTCTCCTCCCATCACTTTTCAGCTATTGGGTCTTTATCAGTTTCACATTTTGTGCACATTCATCTTTCTGCCACTCTGATCTCATCTCATCCCCCTATGCACTCACCTCCAACTGCTCCTTATTGCCCCAAGTCCACTCTTGGCAGCTGGTATCCGAGACTCATGGCTGTACCTTCTGAATCTCACCTTCCAAGATGCCCACACAGAATCTCTACTCTAGACAGCCCTACCTCTTCAGTACCTCCCAAACACACCTTATTTATTTCCCACTTGAGTGTTCAACATCCTTTTCCCTTTATTCTAGTTTCCCAAATCCTGCACAATCTTCAACGTCCAGCTTTGGAAGATGTTTTCCACTCTTTCCATGAGTCCAATGGAACTGCTTTTGGAAAACAAGATGACTCCAACGCTGTGCCAGATGTTAAAGCAAGCGAAGTTTTGTAATATGAGGTCCCCAGAAAGTGTTCCGAAGCTACTGAGGTTCTTGGGGTTGAAAGTTGTAGAAGAAAAGCAGTCACGCCACTAGATGTGGCCTGCTTGTATCTTTTTTGCCCTCGTCATGTTCTCTCTGGCTGGCAGACATTATTTTATTCTTACTACAGCCATAAGTAAATTTATCTTTTCAATTGAAAAAAGCCGCTTTTAAAAATGCCTCCTGGCCAGGCACAGTAACTCACACCTATAATCCCAGCACTTTGGGAGGCCAAGATGGGCAGATTACCTGAGGTCAGGAATTTGAGACTAGCCTGGCCAGCATGGTGAAACCCTGTCTCTACTAAAAATACAAAAAAAAATTAGCCGGGTGTGGTGGCGGACCCCTGTAATCCCAGCTATTCAGGAGGCTGAGGCAGGAGGACCGCTTGAGCCTGGGAGGTGGAGGTTGCAGTGAGCCGAGGTCACACCATTGCATTCCAGCCTGGGTGACAGGCTTTTTGTCTCAAAAATAAAAAAAAATTTTAAAAAAAGCCTCCTGAGCTGGAGTTACCAGGTTCTCAAAGCTGGTGTAAACAGACACTTCTGCTTGTGGCCAGATCTGTCTGGCTGAATTTGCACATGAACCAGCTGGTGAAAAGTCAGTCAGTGTTACACATTCACAAAAGCAGAGGCTTTCGGCCAGGCGCGGTGGTTCATGCCTGTAATGCCAGCACTTCGGGAGGCCGAGGCGGGCAGATCACAAGGTCAGGAGAGCGAGACCATCCTGGCTAACACGGTGAAACCCCATCTCTACTAAAAATACAAAAAATTAGCCAGGTGTGGTGGTGGGCGCCTGTAGTCCCAGCTCCTTGGGGGCTGAGGCAGGAGAATGGTGTGAAACCCGGGAGGCGAAGCTTGCAGTGAGCTGAGACTGCGCCACTGCACTCCAGCCTGGGCACAGAGCAAGACTCCGTCTCAAAAAAAAAAAAGCAGAGACTTTCATCTGCTCTTGGAGTGAAGTCTTGTTGTTTACATTTTATCATTCATATGATACAAAACAGTTTTGTTTTCATTAAATATGAGGAAGTGTCCCATTCAGGGAATTCTGCAAATGATAAAGACTGAAACAATGTCTCCTTCCTCCCCAAATCTGTAAACACACAGTGATACAGTTGCTACAAATGGCATTTGGTGACCACAGCTGGAGTAAGTTCAGGTGGATGCCATAATGGGCTCCATTTTCTCCTGCTAGACAGGGGTATGGGCCACACATGCCAGGCCTTAGGCTGGTTTCAAGGAAGGCTTTGGAGACAATGACAGAGCCCATTGCCATCAGGTGGTGGCAAGTGGTGGTGGGCAGTGAGGAGGAACTTCTACAGTGCCCCCTAGAGGTAGGGGACACAAATGTCAGGAAAGGAGAGGGGATCTGACCTGTTGAATCAGGTTGCACCTGAGGATGCTGAATCCAGGAAAACGGAAATAAAAGAGTAACACAGGCAGCAATATACTGTATGTGCACACCAGAGGTCCCCTTTCTTGATTTGATACATTTTTGGTAACAGTAACACTCAACTGCGCACGCGCGCGCGTGCACACACACACACACACAGGCGCGCACACACACACACACCCCCGTGACATAGTTGATGCAAACAGCAAACATTTATATGTGTATAAGATGGGGTTGGAAAGAGATTAACTAGACAAGAATCCCATAAGCTGTTACATAAAAATTTAAAACAGAGTGAATATCTCAATATGGAAATGGTTGAGAATTTGAGATATATCCTAATCACAGAATATTATGCAGTTGTTAAGAAAAATTAAATAAGTTTTTAGGGTTAACTCAAGGGATTTTTACTACGTATTGTTAAATGAGGAGAGAGAAGGGCATAGAATATTCCATTTGTTAAATCCTGTGTGTGTATTAAAAGGTGCTGAACACATCAGTGTGAACAATGTTAAGGAGAAACAGGGAGGGAAGAGAATGATAGAAAACAAACAAAAGTGACTATTAAAAGTAACAGGTTATTTAAAAAGTGAGAATTCGCCGGGCATGGTGGCTCATGCCTGTAATCCCAGCACTTTGGGAGGCCAAGGCGGGCGGATCACCTGAGGTCAGGAGTTCGAGACCAGCCTGACCAACATGGAGAAACCCTGTCTCTACTAAAAATACAAAATTAGCCAGGCATGGTGGCACATGCCTGTAATCCCAGCTACTAGGGAGGCTGAGGCAGGAGATTCGCTTGAGCCTGGGAGGTGGAGGTTGCGGTGAGCCGAGATCGTGCCATTGCACTCCAGCCTGGGCAACAGGAGCAAAACTCTGTCTCAAAAAAAAAAAAAAAAAAAGTGAGAATTCTATTAAATTATGTACTTGTATATAAATGACTACCAAAATGCTGGAGGTGTTATCTGAGGGTGAAACCATTGCAGGTGATTTTTATATTCTTTCTTATACTTTTCAGCATTTTAACAGGAAATATAATTAGTCTATAATCAGAAATTACTATTTTCATTGAGGGAAAAAAATTGAATGATTCAATAACACTGGGAGCATGGAAAATGTTTCTGAAGTCTTCCTAGCCAAAACAGGGCACACAGAAAAACTGTGCACATTTATGACTCAAAGAGGTTTTCACAATCTTCTTCAAAATGGAGACAGACCACAAAGTCCAAAATTAATAATCATCCAAATACTTTAAGCACCTTGAAGACAGGGCCTAAATCTAATTTTTAACAGTTTCCTAATAGCTTAGAGTGCTCTGAGTGCTCAATCCTCATTAACTGACAAGCACATTTCAAATCCCATGAATTATTACATCAAAGATGCCATTATTTGACATACAAATGCTATTAAAGATAAAATCTCATCTAAAAAAGAGTATCCAAGCCAGAGCAGCTCCAGTGAAAATAATTTAACTATGAAATTTAATCTGCTACAACGTAAGCAATAAAACCCTAACACATAACAAAACTGGTCTACCTGCTCTGTTTATATTCGGTGCATCCAGTTTTGTTCCCTGCATTCCTACAGTCTCGGGGCTGCCTGGTATCTACATACCCACCTCAATGACTGTCCACTCAATCCCATTACCTTCGGTTTCTTACTGAAGATACAAGAGTAATGACATTAGCTACCAATCATCATAAATCATCTCTGGGCCAGGCCCATCTTCAACACTAAACAGCCTGCTAAAATTTGACTCCAACATGCAATTGTTTTGCAGAGAGGTACAACTTTTCCCTTCTTCCAGGCTTGCTTTCTCTGCAGGGCAGTGAAAGTGCATACTGTGTGGAGAGCTGCTCTGGTAATAGCCATGGAATAGCCCGTCCAGGACAACAGGCACCAGGTCCTCATGGGGTGGAGGTGGGCTGTGGCTGCTGCCCTTGGAGGCCGGGCACCCACACCTGGCTATAGGGGCCTCTTGCATGCCATTCTTTTAAAACTGGCATTAGGCAATGTGAAAACTAATTTTACACGTCTAATCTTTTCAAGTAAAATACTTACCTGGACTAGCAAGTGGCCCGAATTAGGCAAACATGTACCACATTTCTCGGTGTTCTCATTTATTTGGTTTATCAAATTTATCAGTATTTCCACAGCACCTTTGCTGATCATTTCATTAAGAAATCCTGGATTTCCAGAAATGAACTTTATAGACCCCATACAGTATAAAAAAGCTTCCATGTTAGTTTCCAGGTCTTCACTTCTTAGTACCTCCAACAATGATTCTGTCAAAGAGACGAATTATTATAAATGTCTGAGTATAACAGCGGGAGATAAATATATTAAATAAGTTGTGTGTGAACATAAAATACACTTTGTAAAATATGTTTACCAAAATCTACATTCAAGTGCTTGTTAAGAGTTACATCGTATGAAGAGAAAAGCTTACTTTTAGTTAAGACAAATCTCTGTAATAGTAATTTCAGCAAAAAGATGGGATTATTAATAAATAAGAGAAAGTATTATTTTAATTAATGTCATTCCTTGCCTCTTACTAATGATTTATTGGCCTTTATTTTTTGTTACAAAAATTTTGAGTGATAGAATACTAATAATTTAACAAATTTAAGAGTTAAATTTCAATAAGTCTTTAAGAATATATTTGTTTCTGTATTATTAGTGGGAAATCCATGACAGGAGCTTAAAAAAATCTCAATCACCCTAGAAAAAGATAACTTGAATACAACACCTATCCTTTTCCCAAGACAACTTAAGAACATTTCTTCAATAACATACCACTACTTGGTTTTACGAGTAATCCAGGCAAATCCAATAAGGTTAATAATGCATATCTCACATTTAATTATATTAATGCCCATGTAATAATTTGAGATGATTGTTTTCAGTCTACAATTCTTAATTAGTTGATTCAACATTAGACATTTCTTTCAGTACTGGTTTTGTCCCTGTCTGCCAGGGGCAAAGAAAGATGAAAAGATAATTTATCCTATGTTGCAAAAAGAGAACTCAAAATATTTTCCATGTTGCTGCATGGACGATACTTTGTATCTTCTCTTCTTGTATCAGCAATATTAATTCATAAAAACATTTCCATTTAGGTAACTAGGTATCTTAATTTTTTAGAAGTACAACAAAAATTAGGCATGAGCTAGACAAGGTGTAATAAAACTTCCTTACCTACAAATTGGAAACATTGTGATGTCAGGTTTCTATAACAGTTATAGATGTCTTTCAACTTTCAGTCATTCCTAGTATATTAAAGACTAAAATTTTCAATTATGTCAAATACTATTACATGCATTTTTCTATATATTAAATCCAAGTCCAGGAAATGAATTCTTAAATGGGGAACACTTTGTAAATCACACAATGTTACTACAGGTGTTGAAAGAAAAGAGCAAACTACCACAGGATACATTCAACTGAATGTGGAAAACAGAGGAGGACAAAGTAAAAATGAGCATCGCAAAACTTCTGCATGTTTCTAGAAAACAAAATATTCCTGCTATCATTGATTATACATTTTCTCTCCAGATACCTAATTTTTACTCAAGTACATTTGCTCAATAGTAGCACTGAATGACACTCACCCAGAATGCTGTCATTTTGAATCAAAGAATCATTCTTCTCATTCCTGCTAATTTTAAATATAAGTTTGCAGACATTAAGAAGATTCTTTCTACTCACTTTAAGCTGCAGAGAAAGAAACACATCTCTATTGCAGAAGGAAATAAAGACATGTTGTATTTTAAAAAAATAAACCACAAACATCTATTTTTAAAGTGCAGCAAGAGTATTTTTAAACATGAAGAAAAGTTCTAAAGAAATCAACTTTGAAAAATTTAGACCACATATTTGCTAACTGTGGTATCTAATTAACTCAATTATAGTAAATACAATATAAATGATCTTTAGAATAAACATTTTAATGACAGATCTTGGCGACTGTGAACAGTGTGGAATAAACATAGAAGTGCAGATATCTCTTCGATATATTGATTTCCTTTCTTCTGAGTATATACCTAGCAGTGGGGTTGCCAGATCATACAGCAGCTCTATTTTTAGTTTCTTGAGGAACCTCCAATCTGTTCTCCTTACTTATTTCTTACTTCATAAAATCTCTCTCTCTTTTCTTTTTTTCAGAGACAGGGTCTTGCTCTTTCACCCAGGCTGGAGTGCTGTGATGCCGCCATCACAGCTCGCTGCTGCCTTGACCTCGTGGGCTCAATCAATCCTCTTGCAGCTGGGACTACAGGCATGTGCCACCGTGCCTGGCTAATTTTTTCAACTTTTTTTGGTAGAGATGTTGCCCAGGCTGGTCTCAAACTAGCAGGTCAAACAATCCTCTCACCTCAGCCTCCCAGTGTTGAGATTACAAGTGTGAGCTAACACGCCCAGCCAAGTCTCATATTTATATGTGTGATTATTAGCTACTTTTAAAGGAGTGTATGAGGAAGAAAGGGGTGCAGTATACTGCTAATACATTTAATTAGAGTAATTGCATTAAAACACAAAAGTAGAGAAAGATGAATACCAAAATTTCACATTAATTTAGAAAAGAATACATAGTAGAGACGAAGGAAAGAAAAGAAAGAGGGAAGCTTTTGGTTTTATCATTTGTATAAAAGAAAACTTAATACTGTTTAATTTGATAATACACATATATTTCTTTTTAAGGTCTATTTCTGGAATGCTTTGAGATAATCACAAGTAACATCTAAATTTGAAAATTACCTTCTAGGCTGGATGCAGTGGTTCACGTCTGTAATTCTGGCACTTTGGGAGGCTGAGGCAAGTGGATCACGAGGTCAGGAGTTCGAGACCAGCCTGACCAATATGGTGAAACCCCATCTCTACTAAAACTACAAAAATTAGCCAGGTGTGGTGGCACGCGCCTGTAATCCCAGCTACTCAGGAGGCTGAGGTAGGAGAATCACTTGAAACCGGGCGGAGGTTGCAGTAAGCCGAGATCGCGCCACTGCACACCAGCCTGGGTGACAGAGCGAGAATCCGTCTCAAAAAAAAAAAAAAAGAAAGAAAAAAGAAAATAAAATTGTCTTCTAAATCATACAAAAAGATCTAAGTAAACTAAACACAGGGTGATAAGGAAATATAGTTGGTTTTTTTTTTAAAAAAAAAAAGCAAAGTATAGGATGACTGACTGAATCAAATGGTCTAAATTAGCTGTGTATTTAAAGTAGTAAAAAAGAAAAATAAAAAACACCCTAAATATCCAATATTAGGGAATAGTTTAATAAACTGTGGGACATCAATACTATTCACATTAAGCAGTCACAAAAAAGCGTAACTGTGAACACTATGTTTACAGAGGGAAACATTTATAACCTACTGTTAGATGGAAATACTATGTGCCCTCATTGCAAAGGTGTAAAAATGTGTTTGTAGGAATAAAGTCATGTGAACAAAAAATTATTTCTGTGTGAAAAGGATGACATATAGGTGATTAGTTTATTATTAAAAACTATCTTTTAAGTTATTTTACTTATTTTTTGAGACGGAGTTTCGCTCTTCTCCCCAGCTTAGTGTACAATGGCATGATCTTGGCTCACTGCAACCTCTGGTTCCCGGGCTCAAGTGATTCTCCTGCCCCAGCCTCCCAAGGGGCTGGGATTACAGGCACGTGCCACCATGCCCGGCTAATTTTTGTATTTTTAGTAAAGATGGGGTTTTGCCACGTGGGCCAGGCTGGTCTCGAACTCCTGACCTCAAGTGATCCACCCACCTTGGCCTGCCAAAGTGCTGGGATTACAGGCGTGAGCCACCACGCCCAGCCTAAAGTTATTTTTAATAATATTTATTAATGAGTTTTCAGTTACTTAAAAAAACATAATGGAATCTGTCAGGCATATTTGTTAAGTATTTGTTCTGTGTTTGATTCACAAATATTTACTGGGCACCTGATGTGTACCAGGCACTGTGCTGCTCACTGCAGAAGACACCAAGATGGCCATGGTCAGCCCCCAGCTGGAGCGGCCCCAGGAGGCGAGCACTGCCTGTGGTACAGCTTCTGCATGCCCTCCTGCAAGAGGCCACTTACAAAAGTTATTCCAGAGCAACCCTGCAAATTCGGTGTTGTCATTCCCATTTTGCACTTGAGGAATGCGTGCCTCAGAGAGGTCACAGAACCACCTCGGCATCACCTGGGCATGCATTAGGAATGCAGAATCTCATGCCCCACCCGGCAGTACCGCCTCAGAATCTGCATTTTACAGGACCCCCAGGGGATGCATGTGCACACTGAGGTCTGGGAAACACTGTTATGGAAGCTTCAGAAACTGTAACACATGGCAGAATGGAGATTCCTTCTGTTCCCAGGAGGAAAATAGGAAATGGGAACCTTAATACATATTTAATGATTAGGTATTTAAAATAACATTGTTTAAAACCCCCAGAAAATAAGAGGGCTTAAGAAAACAGAAGAACATTTCTATATTGATGGAAATATATATTATTCCTAATATTTGGGAATATATTTGAATCGGCTGACTATCTTCTACTAGATTGTGAGTCCTTGAGGTCAAAACCACCATTTATTACTCTTTCTATATGTAATATGTAGGATGAGTTCCGTACTTAATAAAACTTCATGGAAAAAAATGAATAAAACTCACTTTCCTTTCCCCCACCAAATCTTACATTTTTAGTAAAAAGTGGCAAACGAAAACAAAACAAAACAAAAAAACCCTTGTATCAGAGTTTTCATTAAAACAACAAGAAGAAAAAATAAAAAAGACAACGAAGAAAAGAAAAAAGACAACCACAATTTCCAGACCTGCTGTAATGTCAATTTACACTCAGAGCAAATTTGTATGGCTTCTCCATTGTTAACTGTAAAATTATGACTTTAAGACATAAAAAGATAATAAAATCTTACATTTATGCAAGGGGTGTAGACTATCTTATTTTTAAAATTCCCTGTTACTCTCCCTTTCCTTTGCTCTGCTTTATTTTGTGCTCCTTAAGTTCTATTATCTCCTTTGGTATCTGCTGTTTTGCTGTCTGTCTGCCGTGCTACAGTGGGCAATCCCAGGAGGCCAGTTGAGCTAGTTCAGTTCACTTGTATTCCAGTGCAAGGAAGAGTCTCTGGCCAGGTGCTGTGACTACACCCGTAATCCCCAGCACGTGTTGGGAGGCGGCAACGGCACAAAGTGGAAGACTACTGCTTGAGGGCTAGAGTGCCTGAGAGCTAGCCTGGGCATCATAGCGGAGACCCCATTTCTGCGTTTCGCTTTTTTTTTTTTTTGACGACAGAAGTCTCACTCTGTCGCCCACCGACGTCTGGGAGTGCAGTGGGCCGGATCTCGAGCTCACTGCAAGCCCCTCCGCGGGTTTATGCCATTCTCTCTGCCTCAGCCCCCTGAGTAAGCTGGGACTGCCAGGGCGGCCCGCCCCCTCGGCCCGGCTGGGTTTTTGTTTATTTTTTAAGTAGAGACGGGGTTTCACGCAGGTTAGCCAAGGATGGGTCTCGAATCTCCTGACCTCGTGGATCCGCCGTCTCGGCTCAAAGTTCTGATTACAGGCTTGAGCCACCGCGCCCGGCCTGCAAGACCCCATTTCTATAAAACATTTTTAAAACATCAGCCAGGTGTGGCGGTGCATGCCTGTGGTCCTAAGCTCCTCGGGAGGCTGAGGCAGAAGGATCACTTGAGCCCAGAAGTCTGAGACTGCAGTGAGCTGTGATCTTGCCACTGTACTCTAGCCCTGGGTGACAGAGCGAGATCTTGTCTTTAAGAAAGAAAACAAAAAAGAGTCTTGGCACAAAGTAGGTTCTTGTGGTAGGGTAGTTTTCTTCTTATGTTAAAAACAGTAGTTTATTCTATTTAAAGTAAATTTGGCAAATTAAAGTAAGAGAAGTTAAAAAATCACTCATAATAGTGCCACTATGTATAATCACACTTGCTATTGGTATTTCTTTTCTTTTTTTACCCTGTATAAAGGGTGCTAGATTTTTTTCCCTCCTAAATATAGTCACATTCGTACTGTATCTATTTGTTTGTACTCTTTTAAAAAAAACTTAATACAGTAACATTTAAGCTTATATATTTTTGTATATTATTTTGTAAGAGCTTTTGACACAAAGATTAAAATTAAGATGACAGTCTGGAAAACTTTCATTTGCCAGTATTTGCCAATAAATAGGCAGAGAGAAATTGTGAAAAACTTCTTAGTCCCATATAGCTTTAGTTTTTGCTGATTTTTTCTTCTTCAACAGTTCTTACGATGTGGTCTTTTAAAATTTTACACAGAACCCCATCACCAAGGTCTAAGCTAAACAAGACCTTGTCTGGAATGTTACAGGAGATCAAGGCAGTAGATGGGAAGTTGGCCTTGATGGATTTGAAGGTCCTTTCTGATGCTGGTTCTGCAGCTAGTCAGAAGGCAAACCCACCCAGCTCTGCACTCTGGAGTTTTAGCCCAGCATCTTGCTCCTGATTCAGCAAGGCCATCAATGTCACCAAGAAGGCTTTATCTAATCATATGTTTAGCTCAAAACATGTTCACTGCCTGGCAGATCATTTAGCCTTTTGCCCTAAAATAATAAAATTTGTGCCATATATAGATAATTAATTTGAATGACACCATTAATAACCAAAATAATATTTTCTCTGCAAAGCATTAAAAGAATTCATGTTCCTTCCTTCCTCCTTCCTTTCCTTCTTGCTCTTTCTTTTTTTTTCCCCCCCCCTTCACTCTTTCTTTCTTTCTTTGGTTTGGTATGGAACAAAATGTCTAGGATCCAGATTAAAATACCAAAGGCAATCTTTGGGCAGCTGCTGTACCACCAGAGCCGTGGAGTGAAATCACTATTTCAAACAAGTATTGCTTTCTTCACCACATATCACAATTTTTAAAAAGAGAGTTAATAGTTTGACAGCTAAATAAGAATGTAGCCTCCCCCTGATATTACACAGATATATGCTCAGAAAATTCTGCTTGATGAAAGACTTCATTACCAGTGTAAGAAAAGGTGGCATTCTTATTAACTAATAGTAAGTATGGCAACACTTACCTTCACTGTATACTATAAGATTTTAAATTCTAAAAATTATGGGGTGTTAGCACAAAGCTTTTACTTGTATGAAACCAAGAAAACAAAGCTTCATTCATTTGTTTTCGCGGCTCTCTTAGAACATTCTATAATAATTGTGGCTTATCTTTTGGTTCCAACTGTTTATGGCTCAGACAATGAAGTGCTCCCCTCAAACAATGATATCATTTTGTTTGAGACAGAGTTTCTACAGACTTTTTTTTTGGTGTCTGGCCTTTTCTTCTCACACCTTGTGAAAGCCTTCTATGACCACTGAGGTACCTTCCTGTGACCACACGCAGCTGTTTTTCGGTTTCACACTGGTTCCTAAAGCACCTGGTTTATTATGACTGTGGCCTAAATTACTTAGTTATTTATTAAATCATATGACAGAATCAAACATCCAAGAGAAACCACAGCCTGCACCATCTGCTACTGATCTCCAGTCAAGTTATTTGAGCAACCGTTTCGAATGTATTTGCCTACGGTTATTTCTTTTTCTTTCTTGCCTTTCTTTCCTTCCTTCTTTTCTTTTTTTTTTTTTTTTTAAACTTAGTCGCAGTCCAAAAATGTTAAGAGTTTCTTTGAACATTTTCCATGTACTCAGCTTTAGTTCCTTAGATAATACTTCCTGGTCAAATTCTGAGATGTCAGTTTATTACCTTAATTTTTTCCAAGATTCTAAACAAATACACTACATTTCTAATATTCTTTGTAATATTTACAAATAAAGTATTAAACAAAGCTTTTATGTGATATAGTCTACTAGACCAGAGGAAAGAAAAACTTACTGCTAGAATTATTTTTGCAAGTTTAAGGCTGAGCAAGTCTGAACCAACATCAACTAGTTTACATAGGGTCTTCAGGAGAATACTTCTTCTCTTAAATTTATTTCCAAGCATGTTTCCTTCCTCTAAAGCATGATGAAGTTGTGTGCAAGCAGCACAAACCGTTTCAATGTTTTCTTCTGTCAGAGCAAAGAGAGTAAAGCAACACTTACTAATTAGGGTTAAGTTTTCCAGTGTGTCAAACACAGTGTGAGTAAAAACCCTGTCATTATTTCCTTGGATATCTTCAAATTCCTGAACTCTATTTTTTTCCTTATCTTATCGCTTCCATCTACCCGATTTTTTTCATCCCTTTGATCCATCTCCTACCATGTTGACTTATTACTTATCAGTCATTAGCTTATCTAGAATACACAGTCTTTCAAAGAGGTATTGGAGAATGGGACTTCTACCTGCTTCAGTTGGCCTCCTTTACTCCAAACGCCCTCCACCTCAGCCCGTCCTCTGCTCAGTCTCACAGATGCATGCCACTTGCATCTTGACCTTCAACTCTTTTTTGCATAGTTCTATCGGCCTAAAATGTTCTCCATAACCCTCATTCCTACTGTTTTTGGTCCTTCGAGGCTCTGTTTATGTTGTAGCTGCTTCAGAAAAGATGCACTGTTCCACATCCACAAACATTACCTTAGGTTACTTATTTTCCATGTACATATGTGTGTGTTGTGTTACATGACCAGTGCCCTCAAACAGATGTCATGCTAAGTGAGCCAGTCTTACATATCTATCAACAGCACATGGTACAGTGAGAATACTGGATAGAATACTGTATATAGCATAACTTCATACATATTCATTTTCTAATATATCTGTTGACAAAAACAATGACCAATATTTTCCTATGAGAATAATGCTCATCATCTAAGAAAAGAGGGCTCTAATAGAACAAAAGCCTGAAATGTCACAAAATCCACCATTATGTGGAGGTGGTTATTAGAAAACGAGAATAAAAAGATTTTTGGGGTTGCTCACGCCTGTCGTCCGGCACTTTGGGAGGCCGAGGTGGGAGGGTTGCTTGATTCCGGGTTCAACGCCACCTGGGCAATACAGCAAGATCCTACTTCCAAAATAAAATAAAAAATAAATTTAAAAAAAGAAGAATATTTTAGTTAGGAAACAGGGAGATCTAGAACCTTTCACTTTATAATTATGATTGTGAGGAAAGTAATTTTTTTTTTTTTTTTTTTGAGATGGAGTTTCGCTCTGTCACTCAGACTGGAGTGCAGTGGCACATTCTTGGCTCACTGCAAGCTCCACCTCTCAGGCTCAAGCAATCCTCCTGCCTCAGCCTCTTGAGTAGCTGAGACTCCAGACACGTGTCACCACACCTGGCTAATTTTTGTATTTTTGGTAGAGATGGGGTTTTGCCATTTTGCCCAGGCTGGTCTCAAACTCCTAATCTCAAGTGATCCACCTGCCTCAGCCTCCCAAAATCCTGGGATTACAGGTGTGAGCCACCACACCCAGCCTAGGAAAGTGATTTTTGAAAGTGGTAGCCACACTAATTGGCATACAAAGAAGAAAAATAGCACAATAAATGGAACACTGAGGGGAAATAAAATAATCTAACGTATTCTGTTGAATAATATTATCTCTGATAGATTCCTTCATGAAATTTAAAAGTAGGAAACCAATCTTAAATAAATACCATAATGTGCTCTTAGAAGCCCACATAGAGGAAGTGTGTGCCTGCAGAAGGAAGTGACTCAGGCCATTTTTAGCTCTTTTCAACAATAACATCTAAGAAAAAATTTTAAACCTCAATAGCTAAGTAACCTTCAATGTCTTTCGGTTATGCACTTAAATGAATGAATTGATGGGAAATGACTTAGACTAACTTTAAATAAAGGGAAAAACCTGAACTCCTATTGTATGAAACACTTGTGTTTTGTTGTTTTATTCTTCTGTGACTGGCGGTTTCTTTACAAACCCTAAGTCCAGGCTCTGGGCCACTCATTGGCAGTGGGTGGTCCTCCAAGTATTTTTCTAACACTTCCTTCCACAAACTCTTCAGCCTGGTAGGTTCTATTCAAGAATACTTGTTTTTAGCTTTAAAAAAGAGGTTAGAAGAAAGGCTCACGGGTCAAATTTTAAACTATTGATCAAATCAATCCTTTATACCAAATAGTTTGTTATAAATGCTCTACAGCTGCAAAAGACAACTTGAATCTACGAACTATCAAGATTTGCAAGGGGCTAAATCTAGTGGGTAAAAGTTTGATGTGTAACAGAGAGTAACATAATCTCAGAGTAACTTCTATCCCCCAATATATGTATTCATCACAAAGGAAAGAATAAAAACTTGACAGTGGATACAGCTGTGGGACACCACCAGCAACAGAACGCAGCAGCATTGTGTACTCCTGGCAGGAGGCGCTGACAGGGACACAGCGGCACTCGTGCTCTGCCTGCCCAAGATGCTAACCTGGAGCTCATCACGGGGAAAACATCAGACAAACCCAATCTGCAGGACAGTCTGTAAAATATTCCTCAAATAGATCAAGATCACGAAAGAGATGTGGCAAATGATGAGAACTTGTGATCCAGGCTTTTATTTTTTCTATAAAGGAAAGTATTGGGACAAATTGGCAAAATCTGAGTAAGATTTGTATAGTATTGTATGGTAATTTCCAGATATATAAGAGAATGCTTTTGTTTCTAAAAAATATACATGCCAGCCGGGCTCAGTGGCTCACACCTGTAATCCCAAAACTTTGGAAGGCCGAGGCAGGTGGATCACTTGAGGCCACAAGTTTGCGACCAGCCTGGCCAACATAGCAAAATCCAGTCTCTACTAAAAATACAAAAAATTAGCAGGGTGTGGTGGTGTACACTTAACATCCCAGCCACTCAGGAAGCAGAGGCACAAGAATTGCTTGAACCCAGGAGGTGGAGGTTGCAGTGAACTGAGATCGTGCCACTGCACTCCAGCCTGGGCAACAGAGCAAGACTCTGTCTCAAAAGAAAAAAAAATTAGGCCAGGCATGGTGGCTTGCGCCTGCAATCCCAGTACTTTGGGAGGCCGAGGTGGGTGGATCACAAGGTCAGGAGTTCAAGACCAGACTGGCCAATATGATGAAACCGCGTCTCTACTAAAAAAAAAAAATTAGCCAAGCGTGGTGGTGTGCACCTGTAGTCCCAGCTACTCGGGAGGCTGAGGCAGGAGAATCGCTTGAACCTGGGAGGCAGAGGTTGCAGTGAGCCGAGATCGTACCACTGCACTCCAGCCTGGGTGACAGGGGGAATGAAAAAAAAAAAAAAAAAAAAAAAAAAAAGAAAGAAAGAAAAAGAAAAAAGAAAAAATTAAAATATGCACGTCAAAATACTTAGGAATATGGGACATTAGGTTGGCAACTTGTTTTCAAAAGGTTAAAGAAATTAAAAACTGTGTGGTGGTAGAGAAAAAGAGAGGGACGGGGAAGGGACAGAATGAGAAAGCAAATGCGGCTAAGTGTTACTATTGGGGGGATCTGGATGAAGAATATACAGCATTTTTTGTGATAGTCTTGCAACTTTTCTGTAAGTCTCAAATAATGTCAAAAGTTAAAAAAAGAAAAAGAAAAAAATTCTCAGGAGATCAAGTAATCCAGCCCTGCCACCATTCACTGATGTTTTGTTTTGTTTTTTGAGACAGGGTCTCTTTCTGTGACCCAAGCTGGAGTGCACTGGCACAATCACGACTCACTGCAGCCTCGACCTCCCAGGCTCAAGTGACCCTCCAGCCTCAGCCTACCACGTAGCTGGGACTACAAGTGCATGCCACCATGCTCAGCTAATTTTTGTATTTTTTGCACACATGGGGTTTCTCTATGTTGCTCAGGCTGGTCTTAAACTCCTGAGCTCAAGTGATCCTCTTGCCTTGGCCTCCCAAAGTGCTGGGATTACAGGCGTGAGCCACCATGCCTGATCCATTTGCTGTTCTTAATGTTATCTAGGGAGAGAGATGCCATATTTCCGTGTTTAATAAGCCTTCTTCTGAGAAGGGAGATTCATTCACATTTCAAATCCCCACTCCTGTTAAATTTTCTCTACTAGTGTGCATGGTAGGCAGAGCCCTTAGCACCCTCTTAAAATCCTTCCGGCTGAGCTGGACATGGTGGTGTGAGCCTGTAGTGTGAGAACCACTTCAGCCCAAGAGTTCAAGGCCAGCCTGGGCAGCATTAGTGAGACCCCTCTCTTTAAAAAAAACTCCTGGCCAGGTGCAGTGGCTCACGCCTGTAATCCCAGCACTTCGGGAGGCCAAGGCGGGTGGATCATAAGGTCAGGAGTTTGAGACCAGCCTGGCCAATATGGTGAAACCCCCATCTCTACTGAAAATACAAAAAAATTAGCTAGGCGTGGTGGCAGGCGCCTGTAGTCCCAGCTACTCAGGAGGCTGAGGTAGAAGAATAGCTTGAACCCGGGAGGCAGAGGTTGCAGTGAGCCAAGATTGTGCCACTGCACTCCGGCCTGAGTGACAGAGCGACACTCTGTCTCAAAAAAAAAAAAAAAAAAAAATCCTTCTTTCCTGTAGGAAGACTTCCTACAAGAAAGGCCTTCACAATACTGACTCAGTGTTCCCATTCAATGTTTTGCAATATATTTTCTTATGTAACCTTTACCCAGACTCATTGTTCTTCTCACTATTGTTTGCACATTATCTCCTAAGATAAAGGGCCCAAAGCTAACCTGGCACACTAATATGAGGGGGAACATAGTAACTCTAGAGGGGAAAAAGTCATCACATTCATATCCTTAGGACTTTGGGCTGCAGAAGCCTTTTGAGATAACCTAGTCTCCACCTCGTCTGGCAGGTGAGGACACTATTGCACACAGAGTCTAGGTGACTCCTCATGGCCATATGCTTAGCAAGTAGCAGCACCGGGACCAGAAACCCTGTCCAGGGCTCCCACATTAACCATGAACACAGCCAAGCACCCATGGGGAGCAGAGGAGGGGTGAGGTCATTTGAACCTTTCGGGAATCAGGTCTTTTGCAGCACGTCCCTGTTTGGTTGCTGGAGAGGATTCATTTACCCTGCTTCTCTTAGAGCATATTCCTGTGGCTACCAAGCTGGTTTGCTCACCAACAACTCCTAGCAAAGGCTTACTGTGCACTGTGTGCCAGGCACTGGGCTCGCCCTAGGGCTATGACCACTGCTCCAGAGGAGCCTGGTTCAACTTCAGAAAGAGAATCCTTGAGGAGCTGCAAAGAGGGAGAAAGTGGAGGGCCATCCCATGACACGCTTTCCCTCCCCTTGCAGGGACCCATCGATCATGGGCCTTCACTTCTGGGGCAGTTCAGAGTGCAAGGGTGGGACACATCCCAGGCCATTTCCCATGCTGTGGGTGGTATTCCTGACAGATGTGCTCCCTTCAAGAGAGTAGGACATATACCAGTTGGACCAAGGAAACCACGGGCACACCTGTCAAGGACGCCAGTTTATGAGACTCAGCTTCCAAGCCTGAAATCTATTTTAATCTTTTACTTTCTTGAGTATGAACAGCCACCTGAGAGAAGTTAAACCAGCATTTCCTTGGGCAGAGGAAATGATAATTAATTTATATTACAAAGGAAATTTTAGAAATTGGCTCTCTTGGTGCACGTAAAGCATAATCTTACTAAAAATTATGTGTGCATGTATTATTTAATACACACAGGGTAAATAAATAGATGACTTCATTTGTTTTTGAACATGTTCACAGAAATGATAGTGAAAACTTACTAAAAATATCAGGGCAATGGGGAACACATAAATAACTACAGGTATTGTTTTAAAAAAAAACAAAAACAGGTTTTTGTTTTGTTTTGTTTGTTTACCCTTTTCTAATTCACGCAAAATCGGTACAATCCTTGTATTCCAAAAGACTTCGTCTACTTCTATTTCTGCGTCCTTTTCTTGCAGGTCAGCTTTTGGGACTGCAAAAGAAATCCAGAACAGGAGAAAAAGTTATGAAAAAGTTGTCGTCATGAAGCACAGTCAAAAGCCTTTACTATTCATCACTACAATTAATAAACTAGAGAATTAAATTACCCTTTGCTCCCCAAGCCTGACTATTTCTCATTAGAACTACAGGTCTTCTAATCAAATTATCCCAAATTAAACTCAGACTGGATAACGTAAACAAGTCAGAACTTTAAAATATGATCTGGTCACTTCATAAAGTAGTCAGCTTTGTAAATACTGATGACTGCCAGTAAGGCAAACAGTTCTGAGTTCATTTTTACTTAAACGTATCCCTCTGTAATATAGAATAAATAACTATAGATATGTAAAGAATAAGGATTTTGAAAATGTGTAATGAAAAATTTTCTAAAAGGGAGACCTAAAATGACTTTCTTTTCTATAGAAATAAGATGTCCACACTAACATGGGGCCAGTAGCATTAACGCCAAGTGATTTTGTGTGGTGCAGCAGAAAAGCCGGGGCCTTGGGGGCTGACAAATCTCAGTTCAAATCCCAACTCCGTTAAGGACATGGTGAGTGACTGGAGTCCAGTTTCTTATCCTTTCTGAGTCTCTGTTTCCTCATCAGCAGAACAGAATATTTGCCTTCGAGGGTATAAGAATTAAAATATATGGTATAGGTAAAGCTCTGAGCTCAGTGCCAAGCCTTAAGCGATATACAGTATATAATTAATTTCATTTCCCTGATTAAACAAGCACACAAACAGGTAATCACCCCTGCAGTATCTCATACCTGTGTGATACTAACAAGCCATCAACAGTAGATGCTGCCTGTGAATATGGGTTGCAGGGAATAGCAACCATTGACTGTGTACTCTAGATGCAGGAGGCCTCCATTTCATTTTTGCAGTAACACTACGAGGAGGTTCCCAAACAATCCCCATTTTGCAGGTGAAGAAAGTGGAGCCCAGGTGTACTAAGTTATCTGCTCCGGGTCATATAGCTCCCCAGCCTCTGCACTTGACCTCAAAGCTATGCTGACTTGCAGCAAACTAGCCAACTAAAGGGTAACATTGGGGGGAAATCTAACTCGTATTAGAAACTGCAAATTATGATTATATTTCACACAGGCAGTATCGCAAGATCTAAAACACTGACTGTAGCTGGAGGTGGCATTGCTGTGCTGAGGCATTACTGAACAGTGCTGGAGATGTATTCCTCAGTCTCCCTTCTCTGAAGACCACCCTTTAAATACTTTATCTGGCACTTGGTCTACATCAAGTCAGGGAGTCCACGCCCTCTCGGGGCAGGGTGCACCTGGTACCAATTAAGTGTACACACAGAAGGTGCCTGGACCCTAAAAATGTCACATAAAGAGTTAGAAATCAGGAACAATCAGAGGGTGAGAGGTTGGAAGAGAGAGAGACAAGAGGCAGAGAAAGACAAAGAGACAGAGACAGAGAGAGGAGCAAAAGGGTATATAGCCCATATATTTTCAGGTTACTTTAAACAAAGGACAAGTTGAGCAGGAGGCCTGTTAATAGCACAGGTTTGGAGTCACCATCCGAGTTTGAATCCTAGCTCTGCCACCTACTAGCTGGTTGACTATGGGCAAATTGCTTCACCTCTCTTCTGTAAAATGGGGTAACAATGGTTATCTCTAAATATTGTGATTAGGATTATTAATTTATTTGTGCTCTTCTGTATTTTCCAATGCCTCTAATGCATTATTATTATTCTTGAAGAGAAAAATATATACAACACATATTAAATGTAATACCTTAGTACATATCCATATTAATATTTTTTAATATTAATAATATTAATTATTTATTTTAATTTAATAAAATTCTCTGCATCAAGAAATCCAATAAAGTCCCTTGACGATTATCTGTACAAATAGCAGAGAAATCCATCGATAACACATAATGGCATGTATTGAAAAACTCATTTGAATTCAGAGATATATTTGAATTCTGAATACTCACACCATCAAATGGTGCTGATGTCACGCAGGAGAAGCAGGGACACTGTACAATCTACCTATCCTGCCCAACACAGAGGCCTTCCCCTGTTATACTACATGCTAGAAATGGCCACTCTCAGTTGCAGCAAGTCCAGGCTTGCCTTTTATCAACCCTTCCCACTGCCAAGAGCAGCTGACCCACACAGGGCATCCAAGATCACCTAAGCAGCAAAAGTAAATAGAAAGAGGTTGTCAACAAAGCTATTATTAAACATTTGCAGTGCAGTAAATAGCCTTAATAGCAAGGTTTCAGATAATCTATCTAACCCAGTACAAGACTTCACCATAAAATACTAAATTGAATTGTCTTTAGGACAAATTAGTCCACATCAGTACAGATTCACAATCCCTTATCCAAAACCTTTGGAATCAGATATGGTTTGGGATTCGGAAACACATGGATTTTAGAAAGTCAATATGGTATACACATTGCACATTACAAACCACCCCCGTAGGGCCTTCTGCAGCAGCACCCTGTAGCAAAATATATGAATATTCACAGTAACAAAATGAAGACTCTAACTGACTTCCCATCAGGCTCAGGGATTTTGGAACTACAGATAGTTTGTAGACTACCATCTCAATCTTTTGGATCATTGTTTTTATGAATCTGCCTTAACTTTGATAATTCATGGATGTGGATTCTAAAAATAAACATGAATATTCAAGTAATACAAAAAACATAGTTTCTCATATTTGTGGATAATTAACCTATTCAAAGTCCAAAGTATATAAAGAATAAAATAAAATAAACATCTATCAAGGCAAGTGAAAGCCAGAAAATGAGTCAGGCAAGTTATTTAATCCACACATATTTATGACACACTTACATTTACTAGAAACAAGACTTTAAGTCCAATAAGTTCAAGTCTGCATTTTTTACCTCCTATGCAATATGCTGCTTAATACAGAAGTTCTATGAGAAACCACGACTATCAGCTGTTTTTCAGGACAAATAAAATGGATAACTTATTCACCCCAGAAAGAGCTAAATTACAGGGGTGAGTCAGAAATCACAGAACAATTTATTTAACCCTCATGGGCCCTTATGAATGTTTCTGAGATTGGCTTCTCCTCAGAACCGAAGTTACTGAGTCACTGGTATGAGGGTTTCCTTCCAACACTCTCCTAGGAATTTCAAAGTGCACAGTTGTGTCTGGCTATAGCCTTTCTACCTCTTCACTCACCCTGGGCCTCCCCCTGCCTCCATTTTATACACAATCCCTGAGTTACTCTAGAAAATGAAGCATGGAATCATATGACTGCTTTTTAAGATACACACAGACACACAAATAACAAAAAGGTTGTCTCAATCTTGGGCAACAATCTAATATTTTAGAAAGCACTTTCATCTAGGTTCACAGTTTGCTAAATATAAACATTATGATTCAACAGGAAATTGGGTAAGTCAAGCAAAAATTTCAGCATGTTTTTGAAGATTTTGCTGTCTCAGTGGTTATAGTTGTTAACCACAGCTTTGAGTTCTGGACACAAAAACCTGACACAATGTTTGGATTGGCTGATGTTTTTAGCATGTAAATGTAAAATCCTTAGCAACTATGCTGGCTCAAAAATTACTATATCTAAGATTTTCCTGAGTAAAGAAATTCCCAATGGCACAAAAGTTATTTTATTGATAAAAAACTAAGTTTTGAAGATAACAATGTTTAAAAATCTAGTATTCAGTATTGTAAAATCTCATGTGTACAAAAATATATGAAGACTGTAACAGACACCAGTGTATCCCATACTAGTTTGGTCAGATATTAACATTTTGCCAAATTTTTATCCTTTCCCTTATTTTAAAGAAATGAAACATTACAGATGTGTGGCTCCCTGCATCCATTCCCCTCCTCCCTCTCCCTCTAGGGGTTACCACCATCCTAAATCCACTGGTTACTATGATTACACTTGACTTCACATGCTTACCACATGGCTGTGTATCCGCAAACAATATATGTCTTTGCTTTTGCAACTTGTTTCATCTCATATTATGTTTATACTGAATTTACTCAATATTACAATATACAAAAGCCCATGAGTTCACTTTTCTAACAACTATATTCTATTGCATGAATACATTTTGTATCATTTCTAGACTGTGGTTTATATTGTTACATATTTTCTCAATTAAACCGTTTAAAGGCCCAAAGGACGGTCTTAGTAAAGTTAATATAGTTTCATTTAAGTGAGCAATGTTTTTTGTTTTTTTGTTTTCTTGTTTTTTTTGAGACAAGTCTCGTTCTGTTGCCCAAACTGGAGTGCAGTGGTGTGATCTAGGCTCACTGCAAACTCCATCTCCCAGGTTCAAGTGATTCTCCTGCCTCAGCCTCCCAAGTAGTTGGGATTACAGGTACCCCACTCCCTCACACCATGCCTAGCTAATTTTTTTTTTTTTTTTTTTTTGGTAGAGATGGGGTTTCACAATGTTGGCCAGGCTGGTCTTGAACTTCTGACCTCAAGTGATCTGCCTGCTTCCAAAGTGCTGGGATTATAGGTGTGAGCCACCATGTCCAGCCAAGCAATGCCTCGAACTCAAGTTTTTAACCCAAGAACTATGTTAATGTTAAGTTTTGCAACTTTCCAAATGTTTTTACAAAATGATTTCTACAAAACCATTAAGACTGTCATCTAGGCCGGGCATGGTGGCTCACCCCTGTAATTCCAGCATTTTGGGAGGCCGAGGCAGGTGGATCACGAGGTCAGGAGATCGAGACCATCCTGGCTAACACTGTGAAACCCCATCTCTACTAAAAATACAAAAAATTAGCCAGGCGTGGTGGCGGGTGCCTGTAGTCCCAGCTACTCGGGAGGCTGGGGCAGAAGGATGGTGTGAACCCGGGAGGTGGAGCTTACAGTGAGCCGAGATCTCACCACTGCACTCCAGCCTAGACGACAGAGCAAGAAACTCTGTCTCAAAAAAAAAAAAAAAAGACTGCCATCTACAGACGTTTGAGGCATCTGAGTTGGGTAGTGGTAAGATGGTAAGATTGTATGAATATAATAAAAATGTATAAACATAAATGTTGATTTGTGATCAAATTGGACAAACTTCCTGAAGTTTTCAGTGAGCCAACATAGATATCTTCAGTGCAAACATTTTTCCTTTAAGTGGAGATGCTGCAGATGAAGGAGTGTGGGGATCCCTCACCTGCTTTGGTTTGCAGCCTGCTCAGGTCTGAGCTACTGGGGCGTGATGAGGCCCTCGCATGTCTCTTCCCCTGGTCCCTAGGAGAAATACATAAAACACTCAGCACAAACGTCAAAACACTTCTAATTTTGTAAATGACAAGAGTCTGCTATATACAGTTTCTTCTTTATTATTTTGAGATAGGTCTCACTCTGTCACCCAGGCTAGAGTACAGTGGTGCTGCAATCACAGCTCACTGCAGCATCAAACTCCTTTCAGCAAGTGATTCTCCCACCCCAGGCTCCCGAGTAGCCGGGACTGTAGGCACATGCCACCATGTCTGGTTACTTTTTAAAAAACATTTTGTAGAGACAGGGTCTCACTATGTTGTACAGGCTGGTGATTCTGGGTCTCAAGTGATCCTCCTGCCTCAGCCTCCCAAAATGCTAGTATTATAGGAGTGAGCCACTGTGCCCGGCCAATATACAGTTTCTGAAGAAACCATCGAGAATTGTTTATAAGGTGGGGTTTGGTGCTCTATATGCTGTTTTTTGTTTTTGTTTTTATGAGATGAAGTCTTGCTCTGTTGCTCAGGCTGGAGTGCAGTGGCGCAATCTCTGCTCACTGCAACCTGCCTTAGCCTCCCCAGTAGCTGGGATTACAGGCACACGCCACCACGCCCGGATAATTTTTGTATTTTTAGTAGAGTCGGGGTTTCGCCATGTTGGCCAGGCTGTTCTCAAACTCCTAACCGCAGGTGATCTGCCCGCCTCGGCCTCTCAAAGTGTTGGGATTATAGGCATGAGCCACCACCCTGGCCTTGATATGCTGCTTTAATTTACCTTTGATTTCCAAGTAAGATTTATCTTTTTAAAACAAGTCATATTTGCCTAACAACATGAAATACAGTTACTAGAAAGAACAAAAAATCCAGTTTACTTTGCAAATCAAAACAAAATTGGTTAAGGATATATACCACAAGAGGTCACTGTTACAGTAAGAAAGAACTCTGGGATGCTTGGATTACAAAAGCCTAGCCTTCGGGAGCTGGGAAAGACCTCTGTCTCTTTTTCTCTCTTCCTCCCACCCCTCAACCCTGCAGACAAAGAAATTGTGTTCCAGCTGGCCAGATGTGCCCAAGGTCACACAGTAAAGACACATTTGGAACCTAGGTCTCATAACTAATAAATTCACTTCTCTTTCCACTACATAAAAATGTGCCCTGGTTCCATTTTTAAAATTAAATTAATATTCTCTGAAAATATTTATTTTTAGAAATATTTTAAACATTAAAAAACTGAAAATAAATTTGGACAGTCCCCAGATGACAAATATTTTGTATTCCAAACAAAAGAGCAGTGGCTGGCCAATAGCAGGATTATATGCTCAGGGTTTTAAAAAGTTTTATTTAATGTAGAGAACATCTCTGAAGGATACAGCTTCTCTTTAGCCAGAGCTGATACTTAGAAGTACTGACTTTTAAATATCTGCACAAAATTCCAAAGTAAAAAAACACCAGGAGAAGCAGAGTGCAAGTTTTGTATCAAAATTTCTTTTTGGCCATCAAATATAATAGTTGTCCCAAAAAGCTCACAGAGAAGGCCTACACATATGATAGTCCCGTGGACATCTGTATGTGCCCGTGGCTTCTGCCTCCTGTGTAGTGAGCTCCCCAGTGACTATGCTGTGTTGCAGCTTAGCCCTTGGCCTTTCCTACCGCCCTGAAGATTAGCTCCTCCAAATACCATTTTTTACCTCATAAACATGTTCTCCCCCCAACCTTTTTTTTTTTTTTTTGAGATAGAGTTTCACTCTTGTTGCCCAGGCTGGAGTGCAATGGCGTGATCTCGGCTCACCCCAACTTCCGCCTCCCAAGTCCAAGGGATTCTCCTGCCTCGGCCTCCTGAGTGGCTGGGATTGCAGGCGTGTGCCACCACGCCTGGCTAATTTTGTATTTTTAGTGGAGACGGGGTTTCTCCATGTTGGTCAGGCTGGTCTTGAACTCCCAACCTCAGGTGATCTGCCTGCCTCGGCCTCCTAAAGTGCTGGGATAACAGATGTGAGCCACAGCGCTCATCAGCCACCCCCAACCTTTTTTTCTTTAAAAAAAAAACAAAAAACACTTAACACATCCTTTAATCATAAAACAGGAAAAAGATGAAGCCAATTTTCCAAAAATTATCTAATTAATATTCAGAAACAACTGCTTTATTTGTACATAATAAAAACACATGATAGCAAATGTCCCAAGCCAATCAAAAATGGCTGTGGGGATAGGGACCTCTCAAAGAAGGCAGAAAGAAAAGAATCAACCCTGCGAAAAGGTAAAATACCAAAAGTTTGTCAGGGTGTGGAGCCAAGGAAGTTCTCATATTTATGACTCCTAGAAATAACGAGAAGGTTTGAGACTAGGGACAAGGCCTTCCTTTCAATATATACAACTGCCCTATACAACTATTAAAATCAAGCAAGATACTTTTCAACTGACGGGCTTCCAAAGTCAATGGTCCACTCTCCCTGCGGTCATGGTCAGTGATGAGATTGCCTACATAAATACCACACGCATGTATCCCCACTTCTAGAGGAAAAAACGAAGTGTCCTTCTTATATGCAAAAGCTCAGCAGTGCTGAGTCTCCCAGTTCCCAAGAAGAGCACAGAACTAATTAACTCAAGATGGATTAAAGATGTAAACATAAGACCTAAAACCATAAAAACCCTAGAAGAAAACCTAGGCAATACCATTCAGGACATAGACATGGGCAAAGACTTCATGACTAAAACACCAAAAGCAATGGCAACAAAAGCCAAAATTGACAAATGGGATCTAATTAAACTAAAGAGCTTCTGCACAGCAAAAGAAACTATCATCAGAGTGAACAGGCAACCTATGGAATGGAAGAAAATTTTTGCAATTTATCCGTCTGACAAAGGGCTAATATCCAGAATCTACAAAGAACTTAAACAAATTTACAAGAAAAAAACAAACAACCTCATCAAAAAATGGGTGAAGGATATGAACAGACACTTCTCAAAAGAAGACATTTATGCGGCCAACAAATATATTTTAAAAAGCTCATCATCACTGGTCATTAGAGAAATGCAAATCAAAACCACAATGAGATCTCATCTCATGTCAGTTAGAATGGCAATCATTAAAAAGTTGGGAAATAGGCCGGGCGCAGTGGCTCAAGCCTGTAATCCCAGCACTTTGGGAGGCCGAGATGGGCAGATCACGAGGTCAGGAGATGGAGACCATCCTGGCTAACACGTTGAAACCCCGTCTCTACTAAAAAAAATACAAAAAACTAGCCGGGCGACGTGGCGGGCGCTTGTAGTCCCAGCTACTCGGGAGGCTGAGGCAGGAGAATGGCATAAACCCGGGAGGTGGAGCTTGCAGTGAGCTGAGATCCGGCCACTGCACTGCAGCCTGGGCGACAGAGCCAGACTCCGTCTCAAAAAAAAAAAAAAAAAGTCAGGAAACACCAGATGCTGGAGAGGATGTGGAGAAATTTAGGAACACTTTTACACCGTTGGTGGGAGTGTAAATTAGTTCAACCATTGTGGAAGACAGTGTGGCGATTCCTCAAGGATCTAGAACCAGAAATACCATTTGACCCAGCAATCCCATTACTGGGCATATATCCAAAGGATTATAAATCATTCTACTATAAAGACACATGTACACACGTATGTTTATTGTGGCACTGTTCACAATAGCAAAAACATGGAACCAACCCAAATGTCCATCAATGATAAGACTGGATAAATAAACTGTAGCACATATACATCATGGAATACAATGTGACCATAAAAAAGGATGAGTTCATGTCCTTTGCAGGGACATGGATGAAGCTGGAAACCATCATTCTCAGCAAACTAATACAAGAACAGAAAACCAAACACTGCATGTTCTCACTCATAAGTGGGAGTTGAACAATGAGAACACATGGACACAGGGAGGGGAACACCACACACTGGGGCCTGTCAGGGGGTGGGGAGCTAGGGGAGGGATAGCATTAGGAGAAATACCTAATGCAGATGACGGGCTGATGTGCACAGGAAACCACCATGGCACACGTACACCTATGTAACAAAACTGCACGTTCTGCACGTGTATCCCAGAGCTTAAAGTATAATTTTAAAAAAGTAATAATAATGCTAGAAATAAAAAAGAGCACAGGACTGGGATTAACTGCTGTTCTATGTGATCCTTATGGTGTGGAGGGTACGTGTAGGCTCTGAACCCAAGCTGCCTGAGTTTGGGTCCTGGGTCTAACTTTTATCGGCATTGTGACCTTTTACTTGGCTTTGGTTTCCTCATCATTTAAAAAAAAAAAAAATTTTTTTAAATAGAGATGGGGGCCTTGCTATGTTGACCAGGCTGGTCTAAAACTCCTAGTCTCAAGCAATCCTCCCATCTTGGCCTCCCAAAGTGTTAGGATTGCCGGGTGTGAGCCACTGTGCTGAGCCTGGTTTCTTCATCTTAAATCGAATGCAGTGACTCTGCTTAGTACAGCAACTGATGTTGGAAGAACTTAATAAACTGAGATTAATTTTCTCTTTCCTTATGAGTCAATAATCACTAATCTAAGCAGTCCAGAGCCAAATCTTATTGAGTTAAAGAATGTGCATGGCATTGTCCTGATGAAGTTTAAAATCTACTCTGAGGAACTAAGGAACCACTGTTTTTTCATGGAAAAGTCCAATAGAGTTGTTAATAACATGCTAGAATGTGAAGTTAAACAGATTGCAAGAACTAGAGGGTGCTAAGAAGGAAGTGATTAGTGAGTGGGAGAAGTGGACCACAAAATGGGCCTTTAAAGAGTAAAAGTTGGCCAGCATGGTGGCTCACGACTGTAATGCCACCACTTTGGAAGGCCTAGGTGAGATGATCACTTGCGCCTAGGAGTTCAAGGAGCTCAAGACCAGCCTGGGTAATCTGGCAAGACCTCCCTCTAAAAAAAATTTTTATACTATCTAGCATGGTGGCACACAACTATAGCCCCAGCCACTTTGGAAGCTGAGGCAGGAGGATCGCTTGAGCCCAGAAGGTCGAGGCTGCAGTGAGCTGTGATTGTGCCACTGCGTTCCAGCTTG